ACTTGTGGGATGAATCAACCATTTGTAATTTGCAAAGCACTAGTGGAATTTTTCAACTAGGCGAGGCCCCGTGGTTTTTCCCTTTTTGGATTTTCCACATAAAAACGTTGGTGTTCATTTCTCTTTTCTGTTTGTGTGCTGAATACTCGTACAACGCTCGGACGCAAATTTACAAACTCTACCGCCGCGTATATTCTAGCACACAACAGTTTGGCGCCGTCTGTGGGAACGTGATTCCCGACTGGATGACAACTTTTGCTCCGATCTCAAAAGATCGCTCTTATCAACTTCCAGACATCAGTCATTGTTGCATCAGATGCGGACTTGGGGGCAACATTGACCCCAATTCTGGTCAAAAAGATCCTCCGATGCTTTCTATATCAAAATGATATTTCGGGAAAATCCCAGCGACAAGCAAGGATGCTTCCAATCAATTACAAGCCTTATACAGTCCATTGCTGGACTTTTACTTCTTGGGTAAGGTCTTAATCTTGAACTTAAAAAGCCAGTAACGGTCTAAAGATAGATCATTCTTCACCTTTGATTCGAGATATACGCCGCATTTTCCCCCTCCCAATCAAAGCAAAATCAATCCCAAGGGGATTCAATTCGACCTCTTCCACACAGGTTAACATCATCGAGCAAAGGATCCGACATACAACCTCAGAAAGGTCTCACATCCTTGGTGGATTCTCTCGACCTCTTCCATACAGGTTAACGTCATTGAGAAAAAGCTTCGACATACAACCTTGGATAGGTCTCACATCTTTGGTGGATTCTCTCGACCTCTTCCACAAAGGTTAACATCGTCGAGCAAAGGCTCCGACAAACAACCTCGAAAAGGTCTCACATCCTTGGTGGATTCTCTGGACCTCTTCCACACAAGTTAACGTCATTGAGAAAAAGCTCCGACATACAACCTCGGAAAGGACTCACATCCTTGGTGGATTCTCTCGACCTCTTCAACACATGTTAACGTCGTCGAGCAAAGGCTCCGACATACAACCTCGGAAAGGTCTCATATCCTTGGTGGATTCTCTCGATCTCTTCCATACAAGTTAACTTCATTGAGAAAAAACTCCGACATACAACCTTGGATAGGTCTCACATCCTTGGTGGATTCTCTCGACCTCTTCCACACAGGTTAAAGTCGTCGAGCAAAGGTTCCGACATACAACCTCAAAAAGGTCTCACATCCTTGGTGGATTCTCTCGACCTCTTCCACACAGGTTAACGTCGTTGAGAAAAAAGCTCCGATATAAAACCTCGGATAGGTCTCACATCCTTGGTGGATTCTCTCGACCTCTTCTGCACAGGTTAACGTTGTCGAGCAAAGGCTCCAACATACAACTTCGGATAGGTCTCACATCCTTGGTGGATTCTCTCGACCTCTTCCATAGAGGTTAACGTCATCGAGCAAAGGCTCCGAAATACAACCTTGGATAGGTCTCACATCCTTGGTGGATTCTCTCGACCTCTTCCACACAGGTTAACGTCATCGAGCAAAGGCTCCGACATACAACCTCGGAAAGGTCTCACATCCTTGGTGGATTCTCTAGAGTCCTTTTACAAAGGTCAACATCACCGAATAATGTTCTGAGTGAACAATGTTCTCTCTATAAAGACTCCAAGAACGAAAGTGATTGATAAATCTATCACTTATACAAAGAATTCAGTTAGTTTAAAATTTTGAAATAAATATTGTCAGATTTCTGCTCGTCAGCAGACTCCTACTCGTCGTCGGACCCCTGCTCGTCAACGAACTTTCGTCGGTCTTCTACCAGATGTTGAACTTCTACCAAACATCGAACTTCTCCCTGTCATCGGACTTCTGCTCGTCAGCGGACTTCTACTCGTCGACGAACTTTCATCGGTCTTCTACCCGATGTTATACTTCTATCCGAAGTCGGACTTCTCCCTGTCGTCGGACTTCTGCTCGTCAGCATACTCCTACACGTCATCGTACTTCTGCTCGTCGATGAACTTTCGTCGGTCTTCTACCTGACGTTAAACATCTACTCGACATCGGACTTCTTCCTGTCATCAGACTTCTGCTCGTCAGCGGATTCCTACTCTTCATCGGACTTCTGCTCGTCGACAAACTTTTGTCAAACTTCTACCCGATGTTGTACTTCTACCCGACGTCGAACTTGTCCCTATCGTCGGACTTCTGCTCGTCAGCAGACTTCTACTCGTCGTTAGACTTCTGCTCGTCGACGAACTTTCATCGGTCTTCTACCCGACGTTGAACTTCTCACTGTCATCGGACTTCTGCTTGTCAGCGGACTTCTACTCGTCGTCGGACTTCTGCTCATCGATAAACTTTCATCGGTCTTCCACCGGACGTCAAAATTCTACCTGTCGTCAGACTTCTGTCCGACAATCGACTTTCAACGGTCTTCTGCCCGATGCCGTATTTCTACCCGGCTTTGGATTTATGCAGTTCAACAGATCTCTCGAAGAACAGAGGGGTAGAATAAATTCCCTAAACTTCTGCATGAGAGGAGGGGCGCTAATTCGAGCAGGGGAAATTTCCCACTCGCAAATAGCGGAAGCCTCAACCGTTAGAAAGCCAGGGGGAGGAGAAAAAATCTCCTAACTCCTGCACGAGAGGAGGGGCGCTAATTCGAGTAGGGAAAATTTCCCACTCGCAAATAGCGGAAGCCTCAACCGTCAGAAAGCCGGGGGGAGGAGATGAAATCCCCTAAACTTCTGCATGAGAGGAGGGGTGCTAATTTGAGTAGGAGAAATTTTTCACTCGCAAATAGCAGAAGCCTCAACCGTTAGAAAGCAGGGGGGAAGAAGAAATCCCCTAAACTTCTACACGAGAGGAAGGGCACTAATTCGAGCAGGGGAAATTTCCCACTCGCAAATAGCGGAAGCCTCAACCATCAGAAAGCCGGAGGGAGAAAAGGAGAAGGTGCAAGTTTCCTAAAGGTTTTGGAGGCCTATTTATAGGTTTTGGAGAGAATAAGGGAGAGTTATTCCAATTTTTGAAATTCTTGATTTTGTTAAATTTTTTCCGAATTTTTCAAAAAATTTTGGGATTTTTTCGGAATTTTTTGGACCCATAAATAGCACAAAAAATGAATTTTTACTTAAATGGGGCCCACTTAAGTCGGTCCAGCCAACCGGCATCCCGAAACGACGCGACCTGTGCATCAATCCGCGAACACGGAGCGTGTATTGCAGCTGGCCTCACATGGCCAGCGGCCGACCACCGCAGCGACGGCAGCGGAAGCCGCGGCACTCACGCGCCAACCCAGGCGCACGCAGCCAGCCCAGGTGCGATCCAGCCAAGGAGGCACCGCGCGTGAGCGCGGTCGGATGCGGCTCAAAGAGCGCAGCGCGCGAATGCCAATCCGATCCCAAATGGGTCCGAATCAAGGACCAAAAGCATTGTTGGAAGGTTCAAACCATAATTTGAGTTACCAAACGGTCTATGATTTTAACGAGCTTATACTTGAATCGAGTAGCTCGACGAGAAGAATCCAACGAGTCCAAGATCACCGAATTCCAATATCATTAAGACCTCCAAATGTCCAACGAACGGTGCACGATTGAAGGGTTCAATATCGGCCGTACATTCAAACCACTCCCTATTCGTCCCTGATCTCACACCTATTTACGAGCCATGCCACTCCAGAAAAATTATAAATAGAGCCCTCATTCTTCATGAAGAGGACTCAAGTGAAGAGAGAGAAGAAGAAGAGAAGGAGGAGAAGGAAGAAGCTCCTCCTCGACCACCGCCGGAGCTCTTCCCGCTACCAGAAGACGCCGGAACTCTGCTGGATTTTCGGGAAACGCCAAGAATTTGCAGAACTTTGTAAACTTGCTTCAAGAAGCGAATTATAGTCTTATTGCCCCGACTTGTGGGACGAATCAGCCATTTGTAATTTGCAAAACCCTAGTGGAATTTTTCAACTGGGCGAGGCCCCGTTGTTTTTTTTCCCTTTTTGGGTTTTCCACGTAAAAAACTTGGTGTTCATTTCTCTTTTCTATTTGTGTGCTTAATACTCGTACAACGCTCTAACGCGAATTTGCAAACTCTATCGCCGCGTATATTCTAGCACGCAACCATATATATATATATATATAGTCAATTTGACTTCTTGAACACGTTTTTTCACTTAAAATATTATCGAAATTTACATGTTTTCTCCCTCAGAAATTATAAGTTCCTCATAATTAATTTAGTAGGGGAAAAAAAAAACAAATCAAGATATATTGATCAAAATTTAGTTAGAGTGATTTCAATTTTTTTTCTATTTGCATTGCTTTGGTAAGAGCTTATCATGAAAATAATCAATTAAATTATTTGTATGCCTAGTAGTGTAAATGAGTTGAGTCGAGCTCGAGTCACCTCTGGCTTGAGCTTGAGCTTCTTATGTTACTCGAGTTTTATTCTACATGTACAAGCCAGTTTGTTTGTTATATATGAAAGAGAGAAAATTATATATGAGCAATTATTATAAAAAAATGATAAAAAGAATGAAATAATAATAATAATAATAATAATAATAATAATAATAAAGAATTATTTATTAATAGAAAGAGAGAAATTTTTTAAATATTTTTAACAGCTTTGTACTCACGATCCCAAATGCTAACTTATTTTAGTGCATTTTATATTAATAATTTTTTTAAACAAGTCCGCTCGCAAGCACATGCGTCAAGTAAAAGCAAGCACAAACTTGGCTCGATAGCTCGTCGAATTCGGCTCACCAGCCACTTATCAAGTTGAGCCCGGGCCTACTCATAAGTTTAATTCACTAACATAAACACCTAATCTATACCTATCTCAAGGAAAATTCTAACCATTTTCAGATTCATCCCCTCAAACTTTAAATAAATATCTGATTCAATTATTTTTCTAATTTAAAATTATGAAAACATATCAGAAAAAGGTCCCTCATCATGACCAAATGATCCAAAATATAGCACTATAATAATTGATCATTTATTTCAAACTCAACTAACCACAAGCCTCACACAAAACAAATAGGCTACAAAAGACTTAACAACAAATAACAATTCTATGAGCCATTAGGCGAAATTAGTCACAGTCAAAGATACGGGGAGAGAAACTCTCGCCTCAATCAGCGGGCCGCAAGACAACGCACACGCAAACAAAACCATAAAAAAAAAAATCACAATACACATAAACGACACATACTTAGCTAACCAGAATCCATTTCACCATGACTTCATATTATTAACTTAATAGACTACTTTTAACTAATTAATCTTCCTGCAATTCTTCCTTATCTCTCCATTAGAACCAGTTAAAAGGTTTATACTTCCCATCTTAATTATAGCAGTAACGAAGTCATTGTTGAAGGAGTTTGTGTTTTGGGCATAGAACTGAACTTGGGAGTCAGTAGAACCATTACTGAAGAGCTGTTGATCAGAGTGGAGAAGGCCTTTCAGATTGATGAGATTCTTGTAGTAGTTGTTGTCAAAGCCTGTGGGAGTTTGTAGATCTAATGGTGAAAGGTTGTTGTCTCCAGAGCTTTTAGGACAGTTGGACTTTCTTGCCTGTGCGAACGAGGCATCAATGTTCTTTTCTTTGTAGATCCTTTTCCTGAAGGTTGTGCACCGAGCTTGTCCTATTGTGTGTGCCCCTGGTTTACAAAATATTAGCTTTAAAAAAAAAAAATTCCATTATTTTTTTGAATAGTAGTACTTAAAATTACAAACGGGTCTTTTTTTATTCATCTTATTAGAAATTTTTTTTTTCAATATTTAATTATAATGATCTTTACAAATGTTGTAATAAATATATAATGAATTAAATTTTGTGTTAAAGACATCTAATAATTCAAAATTGTATAATGGAGAGAGAGAGAGAGAGAGAGAGAGAGAGAGAGAGAGAGAGAGAGAGATGCAAACCAACTAGGGCGACCATGTCCTTGGTAGAAAGGCCTTGAGCAGAGAATTTAGAGATGAGGTTACTCAGGCTGGATGTAGGTGGCGGAATATTGTTATTAGCTCCACTGAAGCTTGCAGTCCTTGAATCCCTCCTCCCCAAGTTAACACTCCACGTAGGCCCTCCCAGCTGCACCAATTCAACATCCACTTTAATAAATAATTCAGTAATAATTATGTCAAACATTAACATACATGCATAAAATAATAGAGCAGACAATTTTAAGCTTTGAGATGGTCAGTTTAGTTTAGTTGGTGAGATTTGAAAAGCTATTGACAGATCCATATTAAATTTATAACTTTCTGCACTCGTTTTTCTCTAAAAAAGCTGATAGTGATATCAGCTGGCTTTAAAAACTGTTATAAATGTTCTTAGTTTGAATCACGTTTATATTAAATTCATGTTATTTTTTGCTTTTTTAATGGGAACTTACAGTGACAACCGAGTCTCTTGCTGTAATAACCAAGATATCAGCACAAGAAACAACCCCAGGGCAAACTCTTTCCACCGCCGTCTTAATCTGATCAATAACCTCAAATCCCCGCACTGAATTCTTGTTTGGTTTTGCGTTCTTCTCTCCTTTAAAATTTCGAGTATCGTCCAAAAGCAGAGAGGCATCACAACCCTGCAAAAAATAATACCATTTCAATATACACGTACTCTTACTCTTTATAGAAGATAAAAAACAGTCAACATGATATTTGTATATGTCTCGTTCAGTTTTGGCTTAGTTTGAGATGATTTTATTATAACTTTTTAAAGTAGTTTTTTCCTACAAAAATTTAAAATTTTTTACTAAAAAATTATTTTAAGTAACAGTAATAAAATCATTCCAAATAAAATCTTAATTCCATGATTTATTAAGGTTTAAAATCATCCAGTTATATTATTTCGAATCATAATTAAATCTTCATAAATTTAAATGAACCAACATGTTTAAAAACTCACAAATTTAGATTGAAAATACTAAATAAAAGAAAATGGTTGAAATGGTCCACTAACTTCTTAGAAAAGATATATGAAAATGATCCCAACAATAAATAGTCAAAAATGTTTTTATCCTTCATAAATTAGAAAACACGAATAAGTATATAGATAAAATAGGCCAATAAATAATTTAGAAATTATTTTAATTTTTTCTCATTTAGAAAACACGAATAAGTAATCCATTAAGAATAATGATGTTATGACCAAGAATTACCTGAACGAAGCAGTCATGGAACAAAAGGCGAAGAAGCGAAGCTCCCATGCGTTTCTCCTTCGAGATTGCCGCCTGGACTACTGGTCTAATCACGTTGAAGAGATTTGGACAAGTTTTTGAATAGTAGTTACTGGAGAGCTGTGCAGACGTGCTGCCAAGTGTAATGAGAAGCAATAGGAAAATTGAAGGAAACTGGACCATAGAAGCCATTTTTCAGCTCAATTGATTGGAGTTCAAGCTGTGAATAGAACGTTTCGCTTGAGCAGGATGGTGGTTGTCTATGGGGGTATATATAGGTGCATATATATAACTCATAAGTAGACAGAGGTTTTTAAATTTGTACTGGCACTAAGGAAGAAGTAGATAGCATGGGTACCTAATCTTGGACTAATCCTGAGATTTTTTATTTAGTTGCTAGAGAAAGGTGAAGGCATTGATAACAATGTCTGACTTTTGAAGAAAACTAAACTCACAATCTACTTACTGAGAAAAAAAGAAGAGGAGGAGAAATGTTATTATGTCAGTAAAATTATTATAAGTTTTGCCAAAAATATCTGTTTCAGCTTGTAGTCTTTCAGCCCTCGAGGTTATCTCTGTTGTCGTCAACTCCGGCTCTGAGGAACTACAGGTGTGTTCTTATCACTTTGTGTTTAATGATTTAATTATCATAATTTATGTAGTTTTGTTTATTTAATCATTAGTACCTTGCTTAATATATAGTTAGACATTCACTCTCTTGCTTTACTTGTATTCATGCACCGTAAATTACTTGTGTTATCTTACACTGGCTCGTTGCATTATTTATTTAAAAGCTTGCTAATATTAATATTGTTAAGTGAAACAATAGACATTGTGATTATAGTTTAATCACATTTATGCTAGTATTAGTTATTTTGTAAACATCATATATATATATATATATATATATCAATTTTATGGAGATCATCAAATCGAGAGAGAGCTGAAACCCGACGCTCTGGCGAGTTAGGGTTTCCGCTTGCTTCCCTTCGTCTCCGTCCGTTCTTGCCCTATTTTTCCTCCTTTTTCCAGTGTTTTATGTGCGATCAATTTGCTGTGTTCTTTCTCTAGTCTTTGCCCTGCGCGGGCTAGAGATATGATGGCTGCTTTGCAGCCTCCCAACCCTTGGGGCTCGGTGGCTGGTTCTGAACTGATCAAGAACAAAGGCTTTTTCAATCTTGAAGCAGGGGATATTTCTCCTTCCAGATTGCGATCTCTTAAGGATGTACTCTCAGGTGGTGCATTTTCAGGTGATGTCCTTCCTAACTTGTCCCAAACAGTTTTCAATGGGGTTCCAGCCATTATTTTGTCTGGTGATGAAGTGCTTAAGCTGGCATCTCCCTTCCAGTTCACTTTAGTTGGTAAATTTGGTCTTAACAGACCAAATCTTGACTCTATTTGTAGCTTTTTCACGAACCTTAAACTCTCGGGTTTTTTCTCGGTTGGTCTTTTAGATTCAAGGCATGTAGCGATACAACTATCTAACGATCTTGATTACAGTAATTTTTTTGCTAGAAGATCATACTTTATTTTTAACTGTCAAATGCGCATTCTAAAATGGACGCCGTTTTTTGATATAAAGGAAGAATCCCCCATAGTTCCCATATGGATTTCCTTTCCTAATCTTCCGTTACATTTTTTTAACCAAAAAGTCTTACATGCTTTGGGATCTATTTTCGGTAGACCTCTTCAAACTGATCAAGCTACAGCTTCTCGTACTTGGCCTTCTGTGGCTAGAATTTTAGTAGAAGTGGATATAACCAAAAAACATTCGAAGGAAATGTGGGTTGGATCGAAATCTTATGGTTATATGCAAAGGTTGAATTCGAGAAAGTCCCTGATTTCTATTCTCATTGGAAGATCCATGGACACGCCCCTTCAGAATGCTTTAAACTACACCCCGAACTTAAAAAAACCACTGTTCAGATGGATGGTAAGCTTGGATCCACTGAGAAAACGTATGTGCTTACCGGGAAAATTATTCAATCAAACCAGGTGGAACCGCTTCCATCGTCTGATAAGTTGGAAGTTGAAATTGTTGCTTCTCAAGTTCCTTTGCATACTTCTAATGCTGAAATTAATTTTACGGAGGAGAATCATGAAACTATTGTGAACAAAAATGAGGCTACCGAACCCAATATTTTCATTTCCATGGAATCTATGCTAAATGACACTGCTAATATAGAGGAAGCTCATGCTGATTTAATTCCTATTACTTCTAACATTGTTGAAAAACTCTCTAACGCTATTTCTCACTATGTTGCTAATAGTGAAGGTGAAACTATTGTGGATGGTATCAACGATACTTGTGAAGAAGGGGAAATTTCTCCCTCTTTCTAAGGATGTGCAAAATGTTCTACCAAATGGAAAACGTGTGAGTAATACTGCAGCTTCCTCTTCTACTGCTATTATTCATAATTCTATAAATACTGAGGAGGATGGTTTTTTGAAAGTTGCTAAAAAGAAAGGGAAGAATCCTAAAATTCCCAACCTTCTACCCCCCGTTCAACCCGTGCTCAAAATTCTTCCAAATATCTTAATGATTAAAGCTCTTCTTTGGAATGTTAGGGGCATTGGGGGGAAGGAATCGATTGATAGAGTTAAAAACCTTTCTAGAATGCATAGTATCATGTTTTTAGTTTTAATTGAGCCTCTTATTGCTTCTGATAAACTTTGCTCTACTGCTTCTAAGTTGGGTTTTTCTAAATTTGTTGTAAATTGTACTAACAAGATATGGATTATGTGGAATAACAATATTTATGTTAATATTATCTCTGATTTCCCTCAAATTATTAATTGTGAAATTGAGTGTTTTAACTATAAGTGTTATGCCTCTTTAGTCTATGCTGCTACCACTAGATGGAATTGTATCCCTCTTTGGGATCAAATCCGGCAATTTGCTAACAATATTAATGGTCCTTGGTGTATTGGTGGTGATTTTAACATTGTTTCTAATGCTTCGGAAAGAAGGGGAGGTAATTTGCCTAACTCTGCTGCTATGAAAGATTTTAATTCTGCTATCTCCGACTGCTTTTTGAATGATATTGGCTTTAATGATAGTCCTTTCACTTGGAATAGATCCACTATTTGGCAGCGTCTTGATAGATTTCTCTTTAATAATGATTGGCTTTCTATGTTCTCCATGTCGATCTTCTGCTGATCACCTCAGTAGAACTTTGTCTGATCATTGTCCTTTATTGCTTAATATTAATGCTAATAGTAATGTTGGTAAGGCTACTTTTAGATTCCAAAATATGTGGCTTTCTCATGGCGATTTTAAGAATGTCATTAGTATGAATTGGAATGCTTCCATTTACCCTAACAATGACATCAACGACATGCTTAGACTTTGGTCTAAATTAAGTAGATTAAAACATGTTTTAAATTGGTGGAATATAAATGTCTATAAGAATGTTTTCACCAATATCAAGGAAGCTGAACTGAAAGTTCTTGAGCTTGAAAATTCGTACATGGTTAATCCTTATAATGATAACCTGAATATGCTTAACTATGCTAAGGACTCTCTTATTCTGCTTTAGGATCAGGAGGAAATTTTTTGGAAACAAAAAGCTAATGTCAAATTTACTATGGAAGGAGATAGGAATACAAAATGTTTTCACTCCATAGCTAATCGTAATAGGACTAAGAACTATATTCATAAAATTATCAAAAGTGATGGCACTATCATTGATTCTGAGGAGCTTATTTGTAATTCTGGTGTGTAACATTTTAACAATAGGTTCAATGATCATTTTACCAATGCTCCCTTAATGAATCCTCATGTTATCCCGCATATTATTAATGATTTTGATAATGATTCTCTTTGTCTTTTACCTTATGATATGGAAATTTACAATGCTATTATGGATTTGAATGGTGACTCCATTGTGGGGCCAGATGGTTTCACTACTAAATTTTTTCAAAAATGTTGGGATATTATTAAAGTGGATATTATTGATGCTGTCATTGATTTTTTTAAGGGTTCACCCTACACGAAAATTTTCACTTCTACTAATATTGTGCTTATTCATAAAATTGTTGGGGCTAATAAGTGGAATGATTTCAGACCTATAAGCCTCTGCTCTTTTTTTAATAAACTTATTTCCAAAATTATATCCAAAAGATTGGAAAATATTCTTCCTAGAATTATTTCTTGTAATCAAACTGGTTTTGTTAAAGGTAGGAGCATTTTCAACAATGTTTTATTGACTCAAGAGCTTGCGCATGAGATAAATACCATGGTTAAAGGTGGCAATATCATTTTGAAACTGGATATTTCTAAAGCTTATGATAATTTTAACTGGAATTTTCTATATAAGGTTCTTTCTTTATTTGGTTTTAGTGATTTCTTTATTAAGCTGATTAAGAATAGTATTGATAATTGTCATTTTTCTGTTATTATTAATGGTAGGAATCATGGTTTTTTCAAGTCTTCTAAAGTTTTAAGATAAGGTGATAATATTTTCCCAGCGCTTTTCATTATTGCCATGGAATACCTTTCTAGGGGTATTGAAGACTTATACTTAAGAAATCTGAAGCTTCTCTTTCGTACTATTAGAGGTATCCCGATTTCTCATCTTAGTTTTGATGATGATTTCATCCTCTTCTCTAATGGCTCGATTAACAATATTAAATCTTTGAGCAATTTTCTGTCACAATTCCATGCTTCTAGTGGTTTAGCTATTAATAAGGAAAAAAGCAGTTTTATTGTTGGTAAGTCTATCAATAGAGATAGAATCACGGCTATTCAAAGAATTTGTGATTTTCAATCTAAAACCTTACCCATTAAATACTTGGGCACCCTGATTTATAAAGGTAAAAAGAGAAGTCACCTTTTTGAAGATATTTTTACTTGCTTCCAAAAACAATTAACCCACTGGTCCTCTAATTTTTTGTCTTTTGGGTGTAGATTAATTCTTATTAAATATGTTCTGAATTCTATTCCTATTTACTTACTGCATACTCTGCAACCGACTGCTGCTATTTGTCTTAGAATTGAGAGAATGATAAACAATTTTGTTTTGGAGTTCCAAACTTAATAGTAATGGTATTCGTTGGGCTTCTTGGAACAACATGTGTGGCATTTATAACGAAGGTGATTTAGGTTGAAAAATCCTTCTTGATATGGTGCAAGATTTTTCTCATAAACTTTGGTTTTCATTCAGATCTAATGAGATTTTATGGGCATGCTTTATGAATGCTAAATATTGCAAAGACTC